CCAGCCCTCATCCCCATCTCTTTTTGTTTTGTTTTTTAGCTCAGTGGCAAAGCGCCTGCCTGGCAAGCGCAAGGTCGTGAGTTTGATTCCTGGTACCGGAAGAAAAACAAAAAAAACCAAATCCCCACCTCTTTTTACAATTTTTAAATTTTTGCTGTGAGGTCTTGCTAAGTTGCCCTTGCTGGTCTTGAACTTGTGATCCTCCTGCCTCAGTGACCCTGGGATTATAGACCTATGCCCAGCAAGTCCCAGGTTTCTGGTAGGGGCTGTTCTCTTTGTCTCTGCCGAATTTAGTTTGTATCACATATGGCCTAGGTTCCATGGCAAACAGATTTGCTGATGTTGGGCAGAATTTAAGTAATAAGCAAAACCCTTTTGGTTCAAGGGGCTTCAGCCAAGAAATTCATTTTTATTGCATTAGGGCAAGAAGTCAGACTTTTAGCTCTGAGATCCTGGGGACAGCCCTGCGTCTAATCCTTGTGAATGGGATAGGGATGGCTGACTAGAGTCCATCTCTCCAACATGGCTTTCAAGGAAAGAAGAGATCAGTGAGTGACCTCAAAGCATGTGACCAGTGCTGACTGGTGCTGGTCAGGGCTCTGTGGGAGGCAGTCTGGAACCATGAAGGGCATCCGGAAGATGGTATGAGGTTATGGCTGCCAGACCTTCGAGCCATCCTAACTCCACAGGCTCTCTGCTCCCTAGAAAGTGGAAGCCACTTGAAGAGTTGGCCCTGAGTGTGGTGGGAAGCCAGCACTGACCATGCAAAAGAGTGTGAAGGGGACCATCAGAGAGGGCCAAGTGATCCTGGGGCTCCCACTTGGACTCCTGCCACTGGTAGCCCGGGGTAGCAGTTGCTCTGGGGATGTGGTCTCACCCCCATTTCTCCACCCACCTCCACACCCCCTGCCTAGTGCAGGGTGCTGAGGCACAGCTTTCTAGGGCTGCTCTGGGGGGCCTCTGGGCGGCGCTGGGTCTCTAGGGGTCTGGCAGCCTGTGCATTTTTCTAGTGCCTGTGCCCCTGCAGACAAGGGAGGCTTCTTGGGATCTGGCTTCCTTCTGTCCTTGTGCTCCCTTATCCCAGAGTGACTTAGGTCTGGGCCTCAGATAGGGCAGCCATAAAACATTATAAAAGGCTTTGCTAAAGCAAATAAGTCCCTCCCTTCTGTTCCCAAGCCAGTGTTCCATGTGTCTGCTATCTGAGCTTGTGCTCTTTAAATCACAGTTTATCTAACACCAAGCAATTAAGAGTGCCACAAGGCTTAAAAAATAATCAGGTTATCACAATGTGAAATTATTCTGTTTGGTACTTGAGAACTGCACAGACAGCTGCCAGGAGGAGAGGGGTTACCTGGGCCATCAGGTTCAGTGCCTCTCACTCCTGGGGAAGCTGGGTGGTAGGAGGGCAGGAGCAGCTGAATCTCAGGCTGCCAGAAGTGCCCATCACATGCGCACTGTACCCTGCTGTCCTGCCCTCGTCGGTGGTGGTGGTGGTGCCCATGGAGGCCCTAATTTGGTTTCTGATAGTCTACCCTCTTGGCTCCAGCATAGACCCTTTCAGCCTGTCACTGGGCATCTGGCAGGCACACTAGGCATGTATGCTGTGATCTGAGTGCTGTGGGGCTGCAGCCTCTGGCAGGATCCAATCCCCAGTGCTGACCAAAAGCCTAATTTCTGAGTGTTTGCTTGGTTTGCTGCAAGGAGCTGGCCGAACAGTAGAGTGGTCCAGTAGGTGTCGTGTTGCACTGAGGCACAGGCTGAGCATCACAGTGCTAATTAGAGCCTCATTAATGGTTGTTCAAGTTGGAAACGGAGGGAAAAGTTTTAAAGGGTTGAAGATCTTGATCTGCATGTGAACCTTTTGTTTTAGGAAGCTGTGTGGTTAGATACTTCAGCGATGGTTGTGGTTGACAGTCAGTCTGCTGATTTTCAGGCAGCCCAGGAGCATTGCTCAGACCTCCTCATGGTGCATGCCAGGGCTTGTGGGGCTGTCCAGGTGTGGGGGATAGCTGTTGACCACACAAGTGGGTGAAGATGGTCCAGGTCTTATTCACAGCCCTGCAGTGCCACTGTGCACCTCTTAGTCAGACCTGTTACCCTACTCCTGCAACAGGCTGTTCTGGAGTGAGCGGAAGATCACCAAGGCCCGGGAGTGGTTCCACCGCACAGTGAAGATTGATTCTGACCTGGGGGACGCCTGGGCTTTCTTCTATAAGTTTGAGCTGCAGCACGGCACTGAGGTAAGGCTAAGCAGCGAGCACACAGTGCCTTCCTGTCAGTGTCCTGGCCTCTGACTGCAGGGGAGCTCCACCCTGCCAGCTGGACTGGATGCTGCTTTTGGGGCTGGGTCCTGTGGGCAGGCAGATGGAAGGCAGGTGAGGCTCAGGGACAGCCCAGGAGGAGTCCCACCTGAAGGCTTGTCTGGTCCCTGTCTGGTTCCTCTCCCAGGAGCAGCAGGAGGAGGTGAGAAAGCGCTGTGAGAATGCAGAGCCCCGGCATGGGGAGCTGTGGTGCACCGTGTCCAAGGACATCACCAACTGGCAGAGGAAGATTGGGGAGATCCTGGTGCTGGTGGCTGCTCGCATCAAGAACACCTTCTGAGGGGGCGTGTGGGGGTGGCACATGGACAAGTGTGCACAGGGCCTCAGATTCTGTCTTCGTTCATTAAAGATTTTTATGTAGCATATCAGGGCTGGAGCCTTGCTAGTTTTCTCTGGGCTTTTCCTTGGTGTATGTTTTTGCAATCCCAGTCCATCTTCCTGCATAGGAGTGGGTGGTGGCAGCAGCTCTTTTTTGGGCATGAGGAAGCATGGTTGGGGTGCCAGGGCTTGGTGAGATTTGGTGGAGAAGGTGGGAGCATAGGCTCTGAAGACAGCAGGACACCATTTCACAGGTCTGACAGAGGTCGGGGGCCACATAGGACCAAGGTGTGAGCAAGTGCTTGGCAGGGTCACATACACAGGTAGGAGACTGTTAAAGGGCTTGTGTTTAGATGTACCCTAAAACCCCATGCAGCCATAGGTGGGGCTTTCAGTGGCGGCTGGATCTGAGTGTGATGCTGGGATCAAGGGTGTGTGATTGCTAAATTCGTCTTAGTCTAGGGAGGCTGGAACCTCTTGGAGTCTGACTATGAACAGGGTCTGTCCACACTGCCTTCAGACCCCTATGAAAATGTTACCAGCAGGAAGTTGACTCACTTTGCCAGATGAATCTGATTTTGCTAATTCATAGTAATTTTTTTTTTTTTTTTTAAGTTTTTTTTCTGGTACCGGGGATCGAACTCATGACCTTGCACTTGCCAGTCAGGCGCTGTGCCACTGAGCTAAACCCCTAACTCCCTAATTTTATCCTGAAGAAATTTTTTTTTTTTTTTTTTGTTTTTCTCCGGTACTGGAAACCGAACTCACGACCTTACGCATGCCAGGCAGGCGTTTTTGCTGCTGAGCTAAATCCCCAGCCCCCTGAAGAAATTTTTTACTGGAGATTGAACCCAGGGCCTTCACACTAAGTTGTATCACCAGTCCTTTTTCTTTTTTTTAAGATAGGGTCTAAGTTGCCCTGGCTGAGCTCAAACTTATGATCCTCCTGCTTCAGCCTCCTGAGTACTGGGGTTATAGGCATGTGCTACCAGGCCTGGCTATGTAACTATCCTTATCAGTAGTTGGAAAATTGTATTATTTAGTCAGGTGTGGTGGCCCGTGCTTATGATCCCAGCACTCTGGGAGACTGAGGTAGGGGGATCTCAAGTTCAGACCTAGCCTGGTTAACTTCGTGATTTAGCCAGACCCTATCCCAAAATAAAAAGCAAAAAAAGGGACTGGGGGTGTAGCTCAGTGGAAGGGCTCTGGATTCAATTCACAGTAGAGATAAGATGCAGAGAGAGAGAGAGAGAGAGAGATACAGATATCCAAGAGACTTGGCTTCTTTGCAGCCTTTATGCTGTGTGAGGGTAAAGGGCTTCCTCGGGCCATGGATCTGTGCATGAGTACATTCATTTGAGAACCATCCAGCTGTCTTGGAAGGGGGTGTGTGGGCGGTGCTGGAGACACCTGGCTGGAGGTCCTGGTTGGTCTAGGGGACAAGTAAATGATCTTCAGATTGGCTGGGAAGAAGAGATGCCATCATGTGGGATGACAAAGGGCAGTCCTCTGAGATCTGCTTTCTGGGCAAAAGCTTTTCCGAGTCTTTGTAAGAGATGTGCCCCAGAAACCCCTGTGTGTTTCATGCTGCCTGTGACAGGGCCTGCAGTGGTGGTTGTAGCCCTGCTGCAGGCAGTCCTGTGCTGACCTGTGGTCCCACTCACTTTTGGCAGGTGAGAATGGAAAGCCCTGTGAACACCTGGGGTAGTGAGCCCCAGTGAGCTCTGCCCTGCTGCAGAAGTTGTTGCCCCATCTCTGTAGTTCTGGGGTTCTGGAGGATAGCAAAGCAAAGGATCGGTTTCCCCAGGTGAAGCGGGGCCAGTGGTTGGTGCTGGGCAAGTCACGTGGAGGCACCAGCACATAGCTTCTCAAAATCTTTGTTTCCCATCAGTGGGGAGTGACCCCAGGAGCTTCTTGGGTGTTTCCTTGGAAACCCAGGAGGGAGCCTTGCAATTTTCTTGAAGAGAGAGTCCAGAGCCCACCCATCCCCTTACAGATGGAAAGGGAGGACTTACTGTGGGCTCAGGCGGCTGGTGACCACCGTCATAAGTAGGTTTGGGCTTTCCGTGACTGGAGAGCTGAGTGCAGTCGAGGGTCACCAAAAGGATGATAAGGTTAGAGTCTCTACAGGGCTCTTGGAGGATTCCAGAGCAGCTGCACAGCCCATACCTGCACACCTTTCTCATGTAAGAGGGTGTGTTTCCTGGTTGTTAGGAGGTGCAGACTCCCTGTGTGCTTCTCCATGGGAACACATACCTTAGTTTTTCTTTTTTTTTTTTTTTTTTTTTTTGACACAGGGTCTTACTATGGAGTTCAGGATGGCTTTGAACTCACTTTGTAGCCCAGGCTGGCCTTGAACTTGTGGCACTCCTCCTACCTCAGCCTCCCGAGTGCTGGGATTACAGGTGTGCACCACCAGGCCTGGCTTACCTTAGCTTTTCTTTTTGGCGGGGGGGGGGGGGGGGGGGGGGGGGCAGGCAGGAATTGAACTGGAGACCCTCACGCTTGCCAGGCAGGCACGACACTACCTATCTATATCCACGGCGCCACCTTAGCTTTTCTAAAGCTGAAATTTTTCCACCCCCAAAGTAAAGGTGAACTATGTTCCAGAAGCTGCTCTTGTTCTGGGGCAGAGCAACAACTCAGGGACTGTGACTTCTCCCACCCATGAAAGACCCTTCATTCCAGGAGGGACAAGACTGAGCCAGCAGTGGGAACCTTGGGAAGTCCCGGATCTTGGGACCTGCTAGGGCAGGGCTGCCTGGACGTCAGGGTGCAGGGGCTGGTGGTCATGGGCAGGGGCTTAAGTCCTGCCCACCAGGTTCTGCTCATCAGGTCCCTGGGAAGACAGCATCTGCTGACTACAGAGGCAGGCTCTGGCACCCTTGCCTAGCTCCTTTTACCCACTAGCTGACCCCCTAACTACCCTGTGCCTACTGAACACCCCTACCCCAAGACAGGAGGGTCCTTCCTGAGGCTAACTGAAGCCAAGACCCACTGTGGCCGCTGGGCTCCTTGGTTAGGTTAATTGAAGTGATTGGATAGAAGGTGGGAGGGAGGGGGCAGGGCTGGGTTGCTGGACTCTCCCCTTCCCTCTCCTGTTCCCTCCCTCCCTCGCTGGAGGAGCCAACTTCAAAAGCTTCTCCGCGTGTCCCACCGCAGTCCGGTGCAGGGAGGGCCTAGAGACTGGTGTTGGACCTCCTGTGGCTGCCGAGTGCTGTCCACACTTGCTACCTGAGGACCTCGGGGACCATGTGCATGGCCGGTTGGAGGGAGTAAGGGAGGGGGAGACCCTAAGAACCCATGGTGAGCAGAGGGGGGCAGGGTGGAGCAGAGGGGGGCAGGGTGGAGGCCAAGGGGATATTGTACATGCAGCTTGGGGAAGGCTGCTTCTCTGAGGACTCCCTGAACCCCCTATCTGTACCTGATGACTCCTGTCACAGACCAGTTGTGAGTGCTTGCACCCTGGTTTTCCTAGAGCCTGTTTCGCCCATGATGGGCTGAGTCTTAAGTTTTGGGCCTGATGGGGTTGTAGAGACTGGCTGAGCAGCCAGCATGCTGTGTATGGGGCACAGCAGTGCTGGACACTCCCCCACAGCTCCCCGCTGGTCTGCTAACCCTCTAGCCCGCGTTCGTAGTCACTGAGCCACAGCTGGCGAGGGAGATACGCATTTCTGAGCCCACCTTGCCAGCCATGGTGCACGGTGGGTTTCAAGAAGGGGCCACAGCGAACTGTATCTGCTTTTCTGGTTGTTGCTGCCTAGTGCCCCAACACACCCAGCTCTAGGCGGGGTTGGGTGTGCTCCCTCAGGCGCCCCTGCCGGAGCTGGGAAGCGGAGTCCTGTCGTCTCGCTGGGTTCACATGATTAATTTTCCAGCCTAAGTTGGCTGGCTGACTTGAGCCTGCAGATTTGAGAACTGGCCGTTTTGGAGCCTGAGGGCAACCATCAGCTGTCTCTTTGATGTGTGGGCTACCCAGACAGCAAGTTTTCTCTCTTCTGGGGGGTAGGGACCTTTGGATTGACTGTGCTGGCAGTATGATGTGAGGCCTCCTTCCTTCCCGTGGCCTCTACCAGTGAAGTGTGACTTGGAGCTTGGAGCACTGGCCTCTGTCTCAGTTTGGTTTGGGGTGCATTGGCAGGGGGACCCCAGTTCCTGTGACTCATAGCTGGCTATAGCAGAAGTATTGATGGAGGTGGGAGCTGCTAAGCCACAAAGGAGTGTGTGCAGCAGTTTGCCCCCAGCTGAGAGGAGACAGATGTGGCCCTGCCCATGGGCACAGAGGGGAGATGAGGTGGGGGACTCAGAGAAAGGAAGCCCAGTCCTGGGTGTGGGTTGTGGCTAGATGTGGGTGTGAGCACAGCTGTTGTGAGGCTGCAGTGTGGCTGATTTCCTACCGTACCCCAGAGCTGGCAGGATGTGCAGAGCCGGGTGAGCCCTTCCCTCTGATGCTTGTGGGCACTCTATCCGTTCTTGCCTGCCTTTATCCCATGTATGCTAGAATCGGGCCCCTTGCCTCTGGACCTGTCCCCTTTGTCTCCTTCTGGGTCCTTTAAATCTCAGTGAGATGCCCTTGATAGCCCCCTAGCACACCTACAGACTTGTCTATTGTTTTTCCTCCCCTAAGACGGCAGGGTCCAGATCTGTGCTCACTGCCTTTATTAAGTACCCAAGTCTCCTTTTTTTTTTTTTTTTGTCTTTTTGAGACAGGGTTTCAGTACGCTGTTCAGGCTGGCCTGGAGTTCATTTGGTAGCCTAGGCTGGTCTCGAACTCGCAGCGATCCTCCTGCCTCAGCCTCCCAAGTGCTGGGATTACAGGCATGGGCCACCACTCCTTGCTGTTAAGTCACCATTTTACACTGGCTCAGACTGGGAATGGCCCAAAATGTCTGCCAGTTTGCACCTTCTGCTGGGAATCACCTTACAATTCAAGTGCCCAGCCCTGACCTGTCACCCCTACAGGTGCCCCCAAAGCCCGCGTTCTGGGCTCTCCAGCTGGCGCTCCTGGGGTTTGCGCTGGGCTGGGCCCGGCCGCGCTCTTGCAGCGTCCCTGACGTGCTCCACCACTATCGTGCTGTCATCTTTGAGGACCTACATGCAGCCATGAGGCAGGTCGAGCCAGAGGCCCAAAGGACAGGGGCTTCCAGACGCCACCATTTCATTCAGAAAAACCTGACTGGGAATAGCGAAGCGCTGAGACCTGAGGTCTCCTGTGGTGCCCAGGAGGTATGGAGGGGGCGCCCCACCCATGTCCACCTGCCCCTTCTCTCGGTGCCTTCGTGCCCCAGCTTTCTTCCCTTCCCGCTCCAGGAGCACAGTATCCTACTGTCCATTAAGTCCCTGGGTCGGACCCTGCGTGGGGCAGTAGCAGGGGACCACCGCGGAGCCTTGGAGAAAGCCGCGTGGACGGTAGCCGTTCGTACGGAGGCCGTGATGCGTCGGCACTGCTGGACGCCACGGCAGGTGTGCGCCCCTGAGGGCACGCAGGTCCAGACCGCCCCTCTACGGCAGGCTCCCACCTGCCCACGACCTACGGGCTGGGGCTCCCGCGGGACCCACCTGGCGGGGTGGCAGCCTGCGGTGGAGGGGTGGATATGAGCTGCGGGGGCGGGCGCGCGGAGCACCCCCTGACTGCGTGTCCCCGACAGCAGAGCCGGTGGCCCAGGAAACGCCCTGCCCGGCGTCGTGGCAGCCAGAGGCGGCTCCTGCTGCGTGCCCTGGACACAGTCGCCACCTGCTGGGAGAAGCTCTTCGCGCTTCGCGCCAGGGCCACCAGGAAATCTTAAGGGCGGCCGCCCGGACGCCGCCCCCAGCGAGAGCCCTGGGAGATAGAGGACTGCGGTGGGGTGGAGGATGGGGTGGAGACGAAGGGCCCCACTGGGAATGGGCTTCATTCGATGTCTGCATGGGACCTCGACCCCTCCCTTGGCGTAGCTTGTGCTCACCAAAGGACCCAGGATTTGGAGAGGTGAGCCCCACCCAGCCGTGGCCGACCCGAGGCGGGCCACTGTCCACGAACCGAGGGAGGCCTTAATAAACGGGGTGGTACTGCGGGCCCGACTCTCTCCTCTTCGCCTGCCTGGCTGTGCGCCTGGGCCACCGAGGTCCGCTCCTAGATGGCAGGAGCGAGCCTCCGCAGCACCTGGCAGCAGGCGGACGGGTCCTCCCAGTCTCGGGCAACAGGGGGCGCGATCTGGACGCTGTCGTTGCTCGGGAGGTTCCTCCCACCTGCGCCTCGCGGTTGGGGGTGCTCTAAAGCTTCATGCATCCGTCCTCGTCCACTCGGGACGAAGCGGGAGGGTGGAAATGGAGGGGAGGGGAAGGCTGAGCGTGGTGAATTCAGAGCAAAACAACCGGATAAAGGAAACGGGCCTGAGGGGAAGCCGCCCTACCGCCCCGGCTGAGCTTGGCCAGGCCGTTTCCTGCTGCCCCAGTGGTGGCCACGTCGGGGGTGGGGGTGGGGGTTCCAGAGAGTGACCCAGCCCGTCTTCGGACCAGCCGGCTGTTCCCTAGTGTCCGCACAGTCCTGGCTGTCTGCCCTGCCCTGATCCTGGCCCACAGTTGTGGGTTGGGCACCTGGCTTCACCTCCTGGACAGGAGGAGTGGCCCAGGGGCTGAGGCAGGCCTTGCTCCTGCCTGTGGGACAGCCAAGCAGGAGACACAGAAAGCCCTTGGTGGGACAATCTACACAAGCAAGAGCCAGCCACAAAGCTGATCCTGACCCTGCTTGTGGGCACACACTTGGTTTGCCTACCAGGAGCTCTTGTCTCTGCTTCACAGGCGAGGATGCTGAGGCTAGGGGTGGGAGGTTGCTCAGATCACACAGCCAGCAACTGTAAGTGCTGGGCTCAGACCCAGGCCAAAGGTGTGGACAGGGTGTGGGACTTCCTGACTTCAATGTACATTTGGTTTGCTCGAATGTTCAGACTTCTAACAGCCTCCCAGGCCATATCTGAGCACAGGCTGGGTACTCCAGATGTTCCTTCTGCATCTCCAGCACCATGGAGGGCTGTGTGAGGGGCCGGAAGGATGCCAGGAGGGAGCCATGCACATGGACCTGTCCAGAAGCAGTGCAGATATGGAAGGTCTTCAGCAAAGGAGGCATGTGAAGGCCAGGCCTGCTTCAGTGGATGAGGGGCAGGACAGGAAGGGGTGATCCAGGTCCTGGCCCAAGGGCCTGGGTGGGTCCTCATCCTAAACTGTGGAACACTAATGGGGGAGCTGTAGACCTGGACCAAATGTGGCTCCCTTTAAGGGCTCTGATATGTGTGCTGGGTATAGCCTAGTGCCCTGAATGAGAGAAAAAGGCCCAATTTTGTTGGAACATAATGTGTATGGCAGCAGGACCTGATGTGGGGTGGCTAAACTGAGGCCTGGAGAAGGTAGGGAAGAGCCCCAGGGTGAAGAGGTGTCTGCAGGGTGTAGCCTAGATACACAGGCCCTCCGTATGGGAGCCAGCCACTTATTTGCTGCCTGCTTGCACTTGGACCTCTCCAGCTCTCTCCGGAAGAGCATCTCTGTGCAAGAGGCATCTGAGCACGGCCTCCTGGGTGTCCCATAACCGCTGCCCACCCACAGTGCTCCCTTCTCTTCAGAGTCCTCAGAGCTGGAGAGTGGGTGGGCGACAGGGCACTCCCCACCCCGTGAATGAGGAAGGATCAAAAAAACCACCTCCTCACGGGAGTGGGAGGAGGGGCTGAGATTTAGAGTTTTGGAGACACATGTTGGTGGCTGAGTCCTGGACCACAACCACACAGTGGGGAGAGAAACCCCTGCACCCCAGTCCCATGTTTCCTCTGCAGAGCACCTGCTGCCATTAGCCTTGGAGGCTTCCTTCAACCCACCATAGCATCTCCTCCGGCAGGGTGTGGGCAAGTGCAGAATCACAGTCAGGCTCAGAGCTGCAGAGTCACAGAGACTAGAGGAGACACCAGGTGCCTGTGCAGACCTGAGACACAGGTTCTTTAGGCCCAACACAGAGATCCTAGTAGAGGCTCCCCTATGCCTCTGTGGAGCTGCAGGAACCTATACCCAGCACAGGCCTGCACATAAGCTGCTTCTGTCTGCTCGCTGGAACTGGCCAAAACCTACCCAGAGATGCAGTGGGATTCAAACACAGAGCCCGGGCTGTGCACTGTATTGTCCCAGCCCATAGTCGCCTTCTTGGGGCTCAGCGGTTTCCAGGGAGGTGGGGGCTGTGTCCCAGAAGAAGAGACTGTGCCGGGATGCCAGATGGACCCCGCAGGGCACTGGCTGGGTTGTGCAACTTCCTGCAGCCCAGGAGGCACCCCTCCATCCCATATGCAGAGCTGCAAAGAGGGGGCCTGGTAGACTTTGAAGGGAGCCTGGGTCCCATGGCCTCCTAGACTGGGAGCCTTTGAAAGAACATCTGGAGCTCCAGTGACAGACAGGCTAGTCTCTGGGTTTGCAAAACCAAGTTAATCCTGACTTTGCCACTTGTGTGTTCCCCACCCCTGCCCCACCTCCGAAGGGGGTGAGGGCTGCAGCCTCTGCTGGGCAGGGCTGGCAACTTCCCCTACCCCCACCCACACCCCACACACCAAGGAGTGTCGCTGTGTGCAGCAAGGGGAGGTAAGGAAGACAGGCAGTGTCTTCTGGGTGCCCTGTGTGCATGCAGCTGAGCTGGGTAGGCCGGGTGCGAGTGAGTGGAGAAGCTGGGACAGCACCGTGGACAGGAAGAGTAGGAAACACCTGCTCCCAGACCTGGAGGATGCATGGCCTTGTGGGCCCTGGGCCCTTTGCATGTGAACATGAGTGTGGAGTCCTAAGACCCACAGGTGTGCAAGGAGGTCGCCTGCCCCTGCTGTGGCTGGCCCGGAAACAAACAAGCCCCCTCCTCAGGAAGCACATGCTCACTGGGAGGTACCAGGTGCTGAAGCCTATTGTCCCTGTTAGTGGCCTTCAGGACCCTGCGGGGGAGGGGCAGAGACAGCCCCCATCCTGCCCCCTCCCTGGGAAAAGAACCAGCTTTGTAAACACAGAAACAAACACTCCCTCCCCCATTAAGATTCAGAAGAACTAGCAGGGAGGTTGCACCTGCCGTGGGAAATGAGTCCTTGCTGGGGAAATGGAGTGGAGGGACCCTGGGGGCCAGCATTGTGGGGTGGGCATGGGGAGGTAGGATGTCCCGAGGTCACCTCCTGGCTATCAGAACAGGACTTCTGCTCTTGGCGATGAAGGGGATGCCAGCCTGATGTGCCCTGGGGCACTCACTGGCATCCCCTCAGCTTGCTGCCTGTTTCCCCGTAGACTAGTTGTGACAATTGTGGCTGGGGAGAGGCAGCCAGGACTCCCTGTCCTTGGGCCACCCCTGGCGCCCCCTGCCCGGCATGAGGCCAGGGGTCGGAGCTGCAGCCCGAGATAAGCGGCACTTCCTGCACTTGCTCCCAGCGCCAGCCCTCTGCTTCCTGTTTTCTCAGGCAGTGGCAGGCGGTGATGGGGAAGACAGGGTGGGGTCGTGGGGGGTGCGACTGGTGTGGGATACAGGATGGGGTCAGAGGGGAAAGGGCATCTCTGAGACTGGTTGTGGGAGGGGAAGCCAACTGGTCTGAGCATCTCCGAGGAGCAAGCATGGTCCCCACTTCAGTCTAGTCCTTCCTGGGTCTTGGGCCAGAACCCTCCTCATGTGAAGGGGCCTGAGCCTGGAGCAGAAGAGGTGGGCAGGCTGGGTAGAGCGAGGGGCCAGTCCCTGCAGAGCAGACAAGATCGGTGCTGTGGGCTCAGGGTGGTATGACTGGGCATGAGCTCTGGTTTGAGGGGCCTCTTGGGAGCTGGAGGGCAGCCACTCCAGACTGGGACTTTGGGTACAAGTTTCTTTTTTTCTTCTTTTTTATTGGTACATGTTAGATACACATAATGATAACAATCATCATAGGGAATTTGTACCTGTACATGATCTATTTTGCTGCTTCTTTTTTCCCCATTCCCCTCCCTTCAACCCCCCTTCTCCTCCTTTGTTTCCGTTTTCTTCCTTCTATTCTCTTTTTTTTCCTTGTCCCTTCCTTCCTTTCCCCCTCCCTCTCCCTTGTTCCTCTTCTGATTTAAACATTTTCTTCCTGGGTACAAGTTTCTTAACCTACTTTTCAGACTTGGTCATTAGAAATACAAATTTATGTATTGTTTTTTTTTTTTTTTTTTTTTTAAGGATAAAAGGAGGGAAACATTAACAGACATACAACATTTTACAACATATCACAAGCACAATACAGACAATACAGAGCAAATTTATGTATTGTTAATAAAAATACACCCTTGCCAGGTGTGGTGGTCTATGTCTGTAATCCAAGCACCACCTGGGAGACTGAGGCAGGAAGATCACAAGTTCAAGGCCAGTCTATGTAGTGAGACCCTATCCTCAAAGGGAAAGAAAAAACAACTAAACACCACTAAACCTTGCATGTAAATGTTCACAGTGGTATCGTTCACAATAGCCAAAAAGCAGAAACAATGTAAATGTCTATCAATTTGATGAATATATAAATGTGGTATATTCTCACAAGGACAGAATATTACTCAGCTGCAAGAAAGAAGGACATTCTGATTCAGCTTGACATGTGTGGTGTCAAGGGACCCAGGCAGACACCCAGTGTGGCTCCTGACACAGTCCTTTCTCTTATCCTGGGGTGGGAGTATCTGAAACTTCAGACAGCACTGAACCCCAAGTGTCCTGTCACCCTGTACATATGTATCTATAATAAGGGTTGATTTTTATTAGGCAGAGTAAGAAATTAACAAAAAACCAATAATAAAATTAAAATAATGGTCAGGCATGTTGGCACACACTTGTAATCCTAGCACTGGGGAAGCTGAGGCAGGAAGATCAAAGTTTGGAGGACTACTGGGGCAACTTAGTAAGACCCCGTTTTAAATAGGAAAAAATAAAAAGGCCTGTGGCTGTGGCTTGGGCTCAGAAGCAACATGTGTGCAGCACCGAGTTCAATCTCCGATATTAAAAAAGTTTAACAGTATACTATAAGAAGGGCATGTGAATGTGTTCTCTCAGATTTCTTCACTACACTTACCCCTTGTTGACCTCCAGTAACTGAAGCCTCAGAAAGTATATCTGCATAAAAGACACTAGAGTGTATGGCATGTCTGGAATTGCTAAGTCCATGATGGGAGTTACCTACTTATTTATTTATTTGTGTGTGTTTTGTTGTGTTTTTGTTTTTGTTTGTTGGGACAGGATCTTGCTATGTAGTTCAAGCTGGCCTTGAACTCACTATGTAGCCCAGTCTGGCCTTGAACTTGCGGCGATCCAGCTACCTCAGCCTTTGGAGTGCTGAGATTACAGACATGTGCCATCATGCCTGATCCAACAGTTTAGTTTTTGTTGTTGTTTTGTTTTGTTTTTGTACTGGAGGTTGAACCCAAGGCCTTCACATTTAGCCATACCTGTAGCTCTTTTTTATTTTTTATTTTGAGACAGGTTCTTGTTAAGTTTCCCAGGCTGAGCTTCAAGCTGCAATCCTCCTGCCTCAGCCTCCCAGAATGCTAAGATTACTGACGTGTGCCACTACATGCAGCTTAGTTTAGTGCCTTTTAGGGGAAGGAGGGAATGGGGAGTAATAGGGGTGCTGAAAATGTTCTAAAATTAGGTAGCAATAATGGCTTCTAATCCTGTGACTACACGAAGACCACTGCACTGTGTACTTAAAATTGTGTGTGGGTTGTGTATAATGTAAGTTAAATGGCTAGTTTTTCCAGAGTGTTTGTCCATGACAGTGGCAGGAGAGCAGGGCTTGGGTCCTAAACACATGACCTTCTTGCCTGCCTAGCGGGGCCCTGGTACAGGGTGTTTCTGTGGGGTGTGCAGCTGTGTTGGCATCTTGAAAGTGTCTGCTGCAGAGAGGGGTGTGCCCTACCTGCTCTACCCCAATTTCCCAGGCAGGGTCCAGGGCATGGGGAGGGGAGCAAAGGGGAGGAGGCAGACAGGAGCAGGACAGAGAGGTGGTTCTGGCCCATGGTCCTGCCCAGCATGGTAGCTCCGTCCTTGGGTGTGAAGGACATCTTCCCAGGCAGGCACTGGGAAGTGGACTCTACAAGGAGACTCAGCCCTTTGCACCCATGCAGTGCTGCTAGGGAGTCATACTGGGACCAGCTGCCCTTAGTGGGCACTGGTCCTGCTCATGTCCTCTTCAGACCCTGCTTATCCTAGACCTTGGGACTTGCTTGGAATTAGAACTTGCTCCAAACCTAGCCCCTACTAACCTGCCCTGACACTTTGGGGAGGGGTTTCTAGGGAGCACCTTGCTCTGTCCCTTCCTTACTTACACAGAGGGGCCAGACTACCACCCCAAAGCACCCTTTAAGGCCTGCCCCTTGACCTAAAGGAGTGGGCAGCCCCGCAGTGGGGGCAGTCCCACAATCCTGTGGGATGTAGCTCTGTCCAGCATCTCCGGATGTGTTCACGGGTGTGCCTGGGGTGGGTGCCTATGGGATGCCCCATAGATGTAGCCATGTGGATGTAGCTCTGTCCAGCATCTCCGGATGTGTTCACGGGTGTGCCTGGGGTGGGTGCCTATGGGATGCCCCAGACCAAGTAGGGATGACTCAGGGGCTGCTCAGATGGTCACTTCCCTCTTCTGTCTGCCCCAGCTTGTCTGTCCCTCTCCTTGTCTGTGCTCTGTCCTCTGTCTCTGAGTTCTCTGGGCTCTGATGCAGATAAGGGAAGGGAGCCTGGGTGCAGGACACTTGCAAAACAGGGTCACCCTGTTCACCCTCCCCCACACTGGGCATCTGGCCCGTATGTGTGGACACAGGGTCACCCTGTTCACCCTCCCCCACACTGGGCATCTGGCCCGTATGTGTGGGCACACACCCCTCTAGCCCCAGGTGCACTGAAGGTCTGTCACACACAGGCACCCACATAGATGGCCATGCTGGGAGTCTTATGCCCACACTCAGGCTATGTCTACACACACCACACAGAGCTGTGGGTGACTCTCAAGGGTCAGCTGGACACCAGAGTGCATGCCATGGGGTTACTGGGTAGAACAGGCCCTGCCCAGGCAGAGGACACAGGACCCTGCTGCCAGCTGAGACCTGCTGGGCTTGGGGATGAGCGTGCAGGGTCTACTTCTGGGGTGAGGCTCCAGCCTTTCCTGATATACAAGGGATTTGAGGACCAGGGTGACCAAGGAGGTGGTGTAGAAAGGGGCTCAGTCCTCCTGGGAGGGGTCCCAGGCTACTGAGATGGTGCTCCAGAGTTGGGGGAGCTTGAGGTAAAACCTGGGCCTCCTGCCTTGGTCACTGACCCTGTGTCCTCGCTGGGTCAAGGCTGGACAGGCCACCCTGAGGAGCAGAGGGTGGGGTGCAGTGCAGTCCTTCCCAGGAAATGCCTGAGGGAGGCCAGAATGCTGTCTGCACACAGGTGCCAACCTGCAGGCCTCCTGAGGGGACGGTGATGAGCCACGGAGGAGGTGAGAGAGGGGGACTTCGAAGTGCGGTGGGGGGGGGCGCTGCAGAGGGCGGGGCCCAGTCTGAGCTAGGTCCTGGAAGGATGGTGAAAGCTGCAGGCTCAAACCGGGAGTCAGGCTCCCTCCAGAGACAAAGACGACAGCGGTCCAGGGCTCCATGTGGCAGTGCCCCTCGGCCCAGCAACCACAGACACAGGTGTGCAGAGGAATGGCCCAGGCATTTTATTGTGGCCCTTGGCCCGGAGGGACCTAGCTCCTAGCCCCTCCTTTACAGCAAACGTTATTATCCCTTGTATTTAAAAGCCCTGCTACACGGATGCTGGTGATCACTGAAACATTTAAAGGTTTAATTAAAAATTAAATATATCGTCTTATGTATATAAAAAAGGCAAAGTAAAAAATACAATCTGGTTTTGGAAAATACACTGCAGGAAAAGGATTAGGTGCTTCCAATAGTTAACCCTGGCGGGGCCAGCCAGCAGGTCCCAAGCCTGGGCTTCCTGGAACAGCCCTGACCCGCACCCCCAATCTCTGCAGGGCCCCAGGAGGTGGGGCCGCCCGCTGCGAGTGCGCGTCCAGGCTGTTGCATGGGGACACTTACATCTGCGAGAGGGAGCGGGAGCGCGGCAGGGCCGCAAGGTCGAGGTGGCGCCGGAGGAAGCGCTGGGGCAGGGACGGCGGCCTAGCCGGAGATGCAGGCGCTGTAGTACACAGCGCTGCTGGCGTCGGACAGCGCCGAGATCAAGCTGCTCTCCTCCGGGCAGGACATAGCGCGCGGGCCCAGTTTGGCCAGCGCCACGTGATACGGGAGCGCGGGGGCATCCGGCCGAGTCCGGCTGCAGTTGAGGTACTGGTCGAACTCGGTGAGGTCCACGTCGGCCCACAGGTCGGCGGCGGGCCCCAGCGGCTCGGCGCCCTCCAGCGGCGGGGCTTCGGGCGGCGGCGACAGCGGGCTGGGGTAGGGGCCC